AAGATTCTGAAGAACTTCGATGAGGCGATAACGGTGGACATCGCCAGTCTGGACCCTGAGTCTCTCTACCAGAGACCATATGCTGGGTGAGTCAGGGTTTGAAACCTTCATGCTACACTTCCTTCCCATCATTGGACCTCAGATTGGTACAACATAAACAACAAAAAGGATTGTTCAAGGCCATTACTACAATAAACATTCGTTGATCATGGATATGTTTTTAGGCCTTGCAAAGTTGAACACTTTATACATCAAGGTTTTTCTCACTGGCTGACATAGATGAAAGTGAAAATACCTCCTTTTTCGGGCACATAAAAAGTCAGCTAAAATATTCTGTAAACATTTTTTTTGTGGTCCGCCTGGGCCAGCAGAAAAAGATTCTTATTGTTGAAGCCTGGTATTATGCACAAAACACTGGATTCAGATCCAGATTCAGCTTTTCTTGCTTTCATCTCAGAAGAATGACCTTTGGGAAGGTGAATGAGCTGGGCCAGTTCATCAGAGAGGCTGAGCCAGAGCCAGATGTGAAGAAATCCAAGGGTAGGACACACACACACACACACACACACACACACACACACATATGCATTTACTCTTGAGAACTTTTCACTGACACACTCTTGCACATGTTTTGTATTGTGCGAGTTGGCTCTTAGTTATGACTTATGCTGAAGTGCTCTTGATGTCTTCAGTTTGAGAGCAGAGAGTGTGTTGCCATGGCGATAAGTAGCCGGTGATGTGTTGAAAAGCAGGATTCACTGCACTGTCCAGCTCACTCGCTCTTACTTTATTTCCTTTCTATCAGGTTCCATGTTTTCTCAAGCAATGAAGAAATGGGTGCAAGGAAACTCGGATGAGGTGTGCACCTGCTTATTTCATTCAAATTACATGTGTCATCTTTTCGAATGTATTTTTATTAAGTGGAAATGGATTTAAGCTGGTTATAGTTCATGATATGTACTGTCTTTGTTTTTGGTGTGCCAGGCACAAGAAGAGATGGCATGGAAGATTGCAAAAATGATCGTCAATGAGGTCATGCAGCAGGGACACCAGGGAAGCCCTGAAGTGAAGGCAACAAAAGTACATCTTATTTTATCTTTGCATTTATAAAGATTTGTTTCTTGAACTTCACCTAAAAATTTTAATTCTGTAATTTATTCAAGTCGTTCCAAAAACCCAGACTTCCCTTCTTCTGTGGAAAACAAAGGCACTTCCTTAGAATTTGTACGGCTCTCTTTTTTGTAGCAGTGCACCAAAATTTGGTTTTACCAAATTACCAAATTGTTTGAATTTAGCAGAAAACCAAAAATGTACTTTCAGTTATTAATTTTTTGGGTTATATTTGGCCGATTGCATAATTCAACCCGTGTTATGTTCTCAGGTAACAAATGAAATCAGTTGTAGTAAAGTTCTTCGACAATGAGTCGCCTCTCAATATTTCCTTTTATATATAGTTGTAAATATTTCCACACTGCTGACATCGTGTGTATCTGTTATATCTTATCCACATTATGTATATGAAATGGTCCAAATGCATCATCAGGGAAGTGCTAATTAAATCACTGTTTTGATCAATGCTTTTGGTTCTCCAAAACACTTATGGCCAAAACTGAATATTTGTTATATTTATTTATTTATTTTTATTTATTTACGTTTGAGCCGAATATTTTTGGTAGTTTAAAGTTGAATGCATTACTATTTTTCACACAATAAAGGTTAGTGTGGACGGATGCTTTCAAGCAATAAAAAAAGACAAATTACAAAAGGCACAATCGCCAAAAAAAATTATTTTTAGAAGTAGACCATACAAATCTTTTGAAGACATGCAATAGCTTTGTGTGAGGAACAGCTCTACAGTGGAATTCATGTTAATTATAGTGAGTCAAGAAGTGCGTGACATTTTGTTTATTACACTTTAAAGAATTTTAAGATAAACATGAGATGTTAAAATGGTTAACCTTGAGTCACTATTTCATGTCCACGTAATTATTGATGTGGACATGAAAAGCTGTGTAAGAAGTGGTATGACTGTACAACACATTATCCCTTTGATTTTAGTCATGTTTGAACTTATTTTAGCCATGCAATAAATGGGATAATATACATCCTATCAGTTGTTATCGCCTGGCTGGGTTTATTTTGCAAAAACCAGTTGTTAGTACATGATCCCTTACTTAATTTACTTAGTGGATGCCTCAGCAAACCACAGTAAGGCAAGTTTAAATATGCTGAAATGTGTCGTTTTTCTTATATGAAAAAAGCAGTCTCGTGATTCCGCTGAACATCTCCGTTTATAGATGGAGGTTTGGAAGAAGTTGAGGGTGAGAAAACTAGGACAGAATTTTATTATTGGGTGAATTAACACTTTTGGTGTCTATTGTGTAGCGGCATTGGGATTAGTAGTCAATTTCAACTTATTTTAGAAGGAAGTTGTGCAGAATCTGACCTGTTCTGTCTTCATCAGCTATGACCCTCTCGTTAAAGTGTGGAAGCAGCTCCTACCCTCCCTCCTGTCGCTCTCTGCATAATGACTGGAGAAGCAAACCACCTGAAGGCGAACACAGAGCTGAACTGCATTAACATATCAGTGAGGACTTTGAAAGAGGCATTCCATGACTTCCTGCATGTGTTTGTGTGTGAGAGCGGGAGTGTTTAGATATGCACACTAATAGCCAAAATATGTTTTCCGTATGATCCACCCCATCATTTCTAGCACTCGGAAGGAATTCTGTTTATTATTTGAAGAGGAGTTAAATGAGTTTAACTACAGGCGTGAATAAACCCGTAAACAAACCAGCGAGAGCTGTCGTACAGCAGACGAACAGAACTAAATTTCAGAACAAGACAGAATGAACACTGACACAAACATTTCAAAACATACCTGCTGTTGCGTTTAGCTGTTACCATGTCGGCCAACAGGAAGTGCACAGGAATCTGAAAGGGAACTACAAAGTGGCTGTGACTCAAATATTTCCTTCCTCATCTTAATTCTTATCTCTCACACTTCTCTTTTATCTTTCTTTTTCATTCGCTTTTTTTTAAAGAGTGGCTATGTAGTGCTTAGACCTTTTTTTAGTACAAATAAACAGAAAAACAGAAATGCATAAATACCCAAGGTGGCTATGTACAGTTTTATTTACAGATTTACGGTATGCCATAGTGGATGTAAGTCAGCCAGTGCCAGAGACTGTTCTGTCCCTCTCTCGTGGAGCTAAAGTCACTGATGTTACAGTTCAAACTGGAATAGGAACTAATGAACTCGGGCCTGGAAAATGTTCCCTGACTGCAGAACTCCCTCTAGAACCCTGTCCAGATCTGATTCTAGACTGTAGAGATATACAAACTGAACTGCTAGGGCAGTGTTTATCCCCGTTCTGTATAAATGTGGATTCCTGGTTTACCGCCATATATTAATGTTAGTTCTTTTTATGGTGATTGTCTTTTTTTTTTTGTATGATATGTCAAACTCTGTCCAAGCAAATCTCAATGATGACTGTTCCTTTTGAAACTTCTACTTGGACAAGAAGTTATTGCTTTGGACCTCATTGAGATGTGGACGAGAAACAGGAAAAAGACTTTTGGTACTATGTACCACTAATATGTTTTCTGATATATATGTGTACTTAATCTATAATATATTTAAATGTGTTTGATTTAAATACATATATTGTTGAAACGTCTCTTGACACAGGCTTTGTCTTTTGTTTTTGTTCATGGGTTTGATTGAACAAAGCGTTTTACAGTTACCTGTGTTGAAACCTGTGTGAAAATTATTGATTTGCACTTTGAAATTGGATTTGTGTTAACGTATTGAGCATAACTCAAATAAAATGAATTCGAAGAAAATAAGAATCCTATAAAACAAAAAAAGAAGATGTTATTAAAATTAAAAAAACTTTCAAAAAAGTCACTTTTCTTTTTTGCTTTCACATTTGAAGTTGTGTGGGCGGGTCTCCGAGATAAAGGTTCTCATTGGCTAGTTAGTTTTGGAGTGACATTAACAATTTTCTCATTTGTTTGTAGTATGCACGTTTTTAAAATATACTTTCCCATTCAATTATTAAAATTATTAATGAATCTTTCAGTCTTAACTTTTTAAGTATTTTAAAGCATTTGAAAGAAATTGCATTCACCTTGCATTTTGCTCACAAAAGCATTGAAATATATTATACAAATAATATATTGAAATATATTATACATTGATTGAAATATAACTTTTCCTTCCATCTCAATTTTTTTTTACATCACTGTCTCCCTTTAGGTGGTTTCTAGTCAGTGAAATACGTTGAGCATAACTAGAAAAATATATATATTACAGAAATTTCCATGATGCTTGTACTCTGTGATGCTCAATATTTGTTTCCTTTCTCATACAGGTGCATCTCAATAAATTAGAATGTCGTGGAAAAGTTCATTTTATTTCAGTAATTCAACTCAAATTGTGAAACTCGTGTATTAAATAAATTCAGTGCACACAGACTGAAGTAGTTTAAGTCTTTGGTTCTTTTAATTGTGATGATTTTGGCTCACATTTAACAAAAACCCACCAATTCACTATCTCAACAAATTAGAATATGGTGACATGCCAATCAGCTAATCAACTCAAAACACCTGCAAAGGTTTCCTGAGCCTTCAAAATGGTCTCTCAGTTGTGTTCACTAGGCTACACAATCATGGGGAAGACTGCTGATCAGACAGTTGTCCAGAAGACAATCATTGACACCCTTCACAAGGAGCCACAAACATTGTGAAAAGTCCACGGCACGGCAAATCACCAGCAGAGGGCAGTGTAAGACACGCTACGCTTTCACACTTTTTGAAAATACAGCAGTATGCTAAAACGAAATAAAACTATAAATAATACCGCGTTTGATTGTTGTTTACGTTCTTATACATTTGGGTTGCTGAATTATACTTGTTCATCCTATATTTAATGTGCTTTTATCGGTGTGTATGTTGCTGAACGAAACGCAGGGCATGAAAACTATAATGATGGCATGAGTTTATTACACGATTGAGGTTTAAAAAAAAAAAAAGCTATGTGTGATTCAGATTTTCATGAATCAAAAACTCGTTTGAACACCTTCGCAGCGACGGTGACGCCCACATACATGTGACTGAGGCAGGCGTGCAGCGCAGTAAGTTTGAGCTCGCGAGCTGCGACTCAGAGCTGAAGATGATGATGATGATGATGATGATGATGGTGGTGGTATGTGGGCTGTGAGTAACGCGAACAGAGCGGATTCAGATCTTACTTCATAGCGAGCACCTGCTGGTGGCAGTTCTGAGAGCTTGAGCTCTGGGTGTGACGGTTGTCTTTTGTCCTCCACCTGCTTTCCTCTCAGATGAATTAACTGGAATATCCTCTCTATTGAACTGGATCGAGCTGGAATTACGTTTAACGTTAATTGAAAAGTTAGGCGTGCTTATGCTCCGCAGTTCACTGGTGCATCTGTGTGTCAGCGGCACTCTCAGCGCATCGGAAACTCATGTGTTTCTGTGATTATTGGTGCTCGTCTAATGTCACCCAGTGAGTGAGCGCGCTCCAGATGCACTCGCTGTTTGATCGGAATTGGAAAGGGCTGGGAATCGATCTGTCTCCGGTCTCGCCGCCCCACGTTGCCGTGAGGATGTTCAGCTGTGTCGGGTGTTTTTGGGTGCTCCTGTCCTCCGCCCTGGTCGCGATTTGCAGTTTCAGTTTCATCTCGCCCGCATGGATAGTGAAGGATCATCTGAAAAACAAGGACTCCGTGAGTTTTGGGCTGCTGTGGCACTGCTCCGAGTCTCTGGATCATATGTACAGATGTTACACCTTTGGCGGGCTGGGCAAATTTCAAGAGATTCCTTCAAGCTCTTGGCAGGTAGGCTGGATGTGGATATCTATGGTAAACGTGCACTTACACATAAAGGTATGAAATGTGTTCGCTATAAAAATTGAGGATACCGCAACTTTTGAATAAAACGTAGCCTGACCTGCTGAATTATTACAGCATCAGTCTTGTATGGCTCCTGCACAAGCCACATAGAGGAACTGTTCTGTCCTAGGCTTTGATTTTAAAGAGCATTGTTTTGTTTAAACATTTTTGTTTTGTTTTAAAGAATCGATTGAAACAGATGAAAAGTGTATTGTTTTTCATTTTTTTATACTTATTACTTGTTATATCTAAATTTTGAAAAGTTGAAATGTTCGATTTTGATCTTGTTCTCCATTCAGACATTTTAAATTCCCCTTTATATAGTAAACTCTTAAAAAGTGTTAACATCAAGGAAATGCAATGTTGCATTTCTAAACTAAGCGATCTTGATTCCCCCCCCCCCCCATTTACAGCATCAGTCTTGTATGGCTCCTGCACAAGCCACATAGAGGAACTTTTCTGTCCTAGGCTTTGATTTTAAAGAGCATTGTTTTGTTTAAACATTTTTGTTTTGTTTTAAAGAATCGATTGAAACAGATGAAAAGTGTATTGTTTTTCTTTTTTTTATATACTTATTACTTGTTATATCTAAATTTTGAAAAGTTGAAATGTTCGATTTTGATCTTGTTCTCCATTCAGACATTTTAAATTCCCCTTTATATAGTAAACTCTTAAAAAGTGTTAACATCAAGGAAATGCAATGTTGCATTTCTAAACTAAGCGATCTTGATTCCCCCCCCCCCCCCT